ACTGTTTTACTGAGGTGTGCATTTTCTACAGTCGAAGTGTGTCTTTTATAATTAGTACGTTTTGGTACAAAACATTTTAAATAACGTGTATGATTACTACACTGAAAAACAACACAAATATAGGATATAATGTTTAAATTATCTTTATGTACGTAAGAAAAGTGTGAGCTAGCCCTCTGCCCTGCTAGCTATTATTAGCCTTGAACACTGTGCAGACCAATTGGCTGAGCATTACGATGCAGACTGGACCATCTGATCAGGGATTTATCTGCAGTAATGAGGGCGTTGCTCCAGCCTGTCATGGTAAAGTAGGAGCTGTTGCTCATGATGTACTGCGCTGTCTACGTTCCAACTCTTCATTATTGATGGGAACTTGCTAAAAAAGGTCTTACCTCTAAGATATTATCTCTGGCCTGGGAACACCTTGCGGTTTATCCAGGAGGTGTCGGAGAGTACTGAGGAGAGGGATGTCTGGGTTTCCACTCTGGACCTGCTGCGTCCACAATCCAAAGAAAAGCAGACATGGACAGACTCTCTAAATGACAGCAGCGCAGACATACGACTTGTGTCTTGTAGCAGAGCGCACTATCACTAATGCTAGGTCGAAGCCACTCATCCTGTGGCTACAACCTCCACACTCCACCTGAAGGTAGTGGAACTTTTGGCAGGGGGAAAAATTCCCCACTCCCCCGTCCTTGGACCCTGCCATCCTTGGGTAATGGTAAGGGAAACACTGAACCTCAACACCTGTCAAAATCCTTTTTATTCTTGACCAGTTTATTTATTTTGCGATATTTGGAGATCCTCTTAAGACCTTCACTTGAATGTTTTGTGATCCACAACAGGGTCTTGACCTCCTTTGCTTGTGTTAGACAGTGTTTAGATCAAAAACTGACCAAGCATCTCCAAACGTCAGGTTACTTTCTAAACGGTGAGCTGAAAAAAGCTTTGGATTAGATGCTGAGATTTGTACATTTTTCATTTGTTGGCGAAAACACATGGAGGTCTTTTCTTCAGCCCTGCTCATCAGACAGAGGCATTTAATCATATACAGATGAGTAGCAACACTGGTCAGAGCAGCAGTCAGTGGTGTTTTTCATTTGTCAGCTGCAGATATTAAAAATGAGGTCCAAGTGTGTGTTAAATGAGTTGTGACCTCCAGCTGTTTGCAGCCTGTAGACCGATGCAGAGGCAGTGACTCTGCAAGAGAAAAGGAACAAAAACAGAAAAACAAACGCTTGTGAAAGAGTAAACCTCCCTGCTCATCATCATCATCATGGCCCCATTCTTCCTCTCTCAATTGCAACTGAATCGCCTCGGTCTCATTACAGATTACAGCCTCAGCAGAGTGACTCTCCCCTTTCTCTCGCCTTTCTCCACACAGTCCCTCTCTTGATTAACATTTTCTGCTAGGCTTCACACCAAAGGCCCAACCTGTGCGCTTTAAAGGCAGGGTGAAAAAAAAGCCATCAAGCGCTGGAGTGGAATCAGATAAGGCTATCAGGCAGGAGGCTTTACTGCCTTGGCTTTGTCCTGCTCCTCCACCCACCCTCGCTTCCTCCCTCCGTCTCTCACTCCACTGCACCTTTTGTCCGGCTGAGTCCCTGACGGCTCGCTCCCCTCAGCCTCCGACAACATCCAGCACCTCTGCTGCGTGTGAGCACAGCCTCGGCCAGGGTGGGTAGGGTGGACCCACTGAAACTTTAGTACGCTTTTACCGGTAATTCTCTCTTTTTTGCTAAAAGTGGACAAAGTTAAGTTCATTTCATGGTTAACACGTATCTTCTATAAGACAGTTGTTTTCATTTAGAAATTCCCCACACTGCTGGTGGTTGGGCTTTGATCAAGTTAAATAAAATTTGATTTAGAGTAGCTGAGACTGACCAACCTCTGTCCGCCTAACTTTCTTTGAAAGAATGTACCATATTTTCCACCGTACATGTCGCTTCGCCCTATAAGTCGCATCAGTCCAAATATGTCTAATAAAATGGAAAAATCCATAAATACGTTGCATCTATTACGCATCACCGCTGGCAACCTGGAAATGTGGGTCGAACTCGGAAATGTGGGTCGGTGTTGTGCCAAAAATCGATTGGCTGCCAAATGACGGCTGTGGGAGTGTGCACAGGAGGATTTTAATAAGAATTTAAAAAGATTAACACTTAAAAACAATTATTTGTTTGCTCGAAATTATAGCAAAGGTGTAACTTATAATTAAGGAATGCACTTAAATGGTCATATTCACTGCATTTGGTCGGGGCAGCGCAGTGAAATTAAGCTGATTTGACAGCTTGAGCGAGCAGAATGAAGGTGGCAGGCTGTGGCAAGCCAACTGTGTCATTAATAGCTACTTTTTACCTACTACACAACACAACGGCATGCCTTACCGCTCGAGTGCCATCTAGCAGCTGAAAATGGTATTGTTTAATATTTTAAGTCAGGATGAATGAAACCGGTCATATCTCAGCCAAAAATTAGTTTATAAGTATGGGGAAAAGAGTCCATAAATACATCGCTTTGGCATATAAGTTGCAGGGCATGCAAATTATGCAAAAAAAACAACAAAACTGACTTATAGGGCAAAAAATACGGTATATCGCCCGCCAGATTGAGAAGTGACGGAGGTACAGGGTCGCTGTTTTAGTCAAGCCTTGTAAACAATGTTATGTGCGATCTCATACAATTCTTTTGAGATGTGTTAGCTCTCAGAGTATGTGTTAAGGGTGACTATCAGCAACCACCACGCCAAATTTTAGCTCAATACCTACAAAGTTGACTGAGTTATAACTATTTTGATGGTAGATTGGCTGTGGCCATTTGAGATGGGCTGACCAAAGATGGATCAAGTGGTTTATGAAGTATTTTGCTGACAGACAGCGTTAGTGACACCAATAGTTACCGTAATAGCAAAGTTTTGAGAGAAAATATTGTAGTGCTGGGATGCTCAGCTCCTGCCACACCATCGTTTTGTTTATATCTTTACATTTGCCGTCGTAAAGCCATCTTTATGTTTTCGAAGGTCAGTTAGCTGTGACGGCCATCTTGAATTTTGCTGACTCCAATAATTAAGCACCAGTTTTTAAATATAACACCATGATTTATTTATTTATTTATTTTTTGTAACCCTGCTTTCAGTTTGTACCCAGGTCAAAATGCAAACAAATTAAACCGCACGCTGTCCCATTAGTTAGAAATGCAATATTTTCTAATCAGATTTTAATTTATATTTATTACAGCACTGATGCTGTACTTAGTTTAATTTAATGTATAGTCATTTAAACATTATCTGCTGATTACATCACTTTTTTTATTTCAAGACATAAGGATGTAGTAATTACTGTCTTATAATAAATTATGGCCGGACTGCGGCTGCATGTGTGCCTCCTCTTCTTCTGGACATTTGCAAACAGATGCAGCCTGCAGGTTGTTTTGATCAATCAAGCTTTAACAAGTCAAGTTGACTTGCTTTGAATGTAACATTTAGCACGTGAAAGGGTGAGGCCTGGTTTTGATTAGCACTAAGCTGATAAATAGCAGATTCAAACCGGCCCCCCTGCTAGTGCAGAGAAACCCCAGAGGTCCAGAGGTTTAAGTCCAGACTGATATAATAAAGTCTGTTGCTTTTTTATTCACCAAATGCATGAATAGATCCATTATTCAGTCGACTCATTCTCATCTTCTAAATTGAAGTGGCAGCAGCTTAAAAGCTCTTTTTTTCCAGCGCCCTTCTTTTTCTCCAAGTTGTCCTTTCTTTAGAAATGTATCTACTAAAATATTCATGGCGTGTTTCTGTGATTTATGCTTTTATGTTTAAGACTGTTTGCTCCGAAGTGATAGTTTATTTTTTATCTTGAATATGAAAAGTTGCCATGAAAGAGGGGAGACTTTTATCATTGATGCGTTCATGGACACTCGCAAATATTTGTATATTGCTTCGTGTGTTGCCTGTTTTTCTGTCTGTACAGCACTTTGGTCAGCCTTGTCGCTGTTTTAAGTGCTCTATAAATAAAATGGTGTGGTATGGTAAATAAAACAGTAACATAATAGTTCCAACTTTTAGTTGCATTGTAGGACTTTAAAACTAAAATATTTATTATCTTTTAACAGGTGGAAAATATGCGATGGAAGATCATTGCAGTTTAAACTTTTAGCTTTTATGGCTATTCAACTGGTGGCCCGGGGGCCAAATCAGGCCCATGAGTGTGCTCAGTTCAGTCCACCAATGGGTTCATTTTTAAATAAAACTTCATTTTAAATCATAAAACAACCTTGCATAACGAGAATAAATTCTGGATGTCCGGCCCCTGAGCTCTTTGCTTTCTATAACTGTGCCCCCTGAGCAATTTCTTTGAATAGCCCGTTTAATGGTAAAGTGTAACAAAGGTCTTAAAAGAAACACACACATATACATATTTTATATCCAGTTAAAGAAGAAGATATTGAGTTACAGCAGGTAAAGTATTTTAAAACATAGGATTAACATATTTATCAGTAACTGAGCTAAACAGAATTGTTTTCTAATGAAAATCTACATTTTTGTGTTTGAATTCATTTGTTTCATTTGAATCATTTAAAGAAACTTATCAACATTTGGCCAAACATGTTTGTAATATTTAAAACTAATAAGATCCATTAAAAAAAGAGTACCACGCAATACTGTGTTTTAGTTTCATTATAGAGTCTTTACATGTCTTGTTTTTGTCAAACTGAAATATGGTCCATTTGATGCACTTTGTATCTCATGTACCTACATCAAGATGTAAACTTTTATTTTTTTTAATGACCTACAGCAAGTTTTGCTTTCAAAAAATATACATTCATCATAACTTTTTGGTTATCTTACCAACCCCCAACCACCCCACACGCACTTAATGTTGCTACTGATGCTAAAATATAATTTTTGATAAGTCAGATTTTCAGATTCTGAACTTGTCACTCTGAGGATCTGTACCATTCTGATGCCTTCCTCAATATTTTCTCCTCTTCTTTTGTCTTTCCAGTCGACTTTTTGGCAAAGTATTGCATTTTCAGCCAGGAGAAATTGGCCGAGTACAAAAGGGCTTTTGAGGCGGTAAGTGAAAGGGGATTTAAAAACTTTATGTTCTCTTTCTTTTTTCAGGAGATTCTGTTTCACTCACTGTTAAATGCTGCCCTCCTGATCAGAAAGACACTGCTTCTTCCATATTTGAACGTTTTTTTTAAAAGCATTGTTTATTCCAGAATTTCACTGAAAGAGTCTGCACCAACACAAAAAAACAAACATAAAATAATAATAAAGGACAGGCAGGAAATCAACACTTTTAGCATTTTTGCTTAAAAATATATTAAATTTTAGGGTTGCACGATATTGGATTTTTGGCCGATATCCGATATACCAATGTGTTAAAACTTATTTGGCCGATAACCGATAACCGATACCGATATTTTACCCCTAGACCTACTTACAGAGACTACATAGCTTTCTCTGCTGTGGAATTAAAATACCACATTATTCTGCATGGTCTTTATCAGTTTGTCCTGCTACCAAATGCAGATGGCAAAAGGAGATGAAAATGATGTAACACTTCAACTCGGATTATGTTTAATGTGAAATTTATTCAGGACATGTACTCTCTCTAACACAATGAAAACACGAACAGTCACAAAAACAGCACCTTATATATATATATATATATATATATATATATATATATATATATATAAAGTGCCTTTTATATCTGTGAGTTATTTTGATGGAATTGACAATGTCCGATATTTATCGCTAATATCGTCCGATACCGATACCATGCCGATAATATCGTGCATCTCTATTAAATTGTTTATATTTTTACTATTTTGAAACTGAATTGACTTTTGATACGCTTCTAAGAGTTAGAAAGTCTGTTAAACTTTAGGTTTCCTTCATTTTTTGTAAGAAATTTAACATTTTTGATTGTATGAAAAATTCTTTAGATAAAATGGAGCTGTGCGTTTGTTTGTAGGAGGACAGCGACAAGGACGGCTACATCTCCTGCCTGCAGGTTCTTCTTGCACTGAAGACCATCATTCCTCCTGAGCTGCTATCTGACGAAGAAGAAATCTACGTCTACAGAGTAGATCTGAACCCCACACACACACATATTCACAGTCCCGCTGCTGTAACACAAGCACCTTTTTTTTTTCCTTAAGATCTTAGAGATGGTGGACTTCAGAGTGACAGATGGACTTGTGGACCTGAGGCTGTTTGCTGTGATTGCAAGCCTGGCCCAGAAAATAACCTCCATGGAGTAAGTGAAAGGCGAACGCTCTCCTCGGTAAAGCCGGAGGAGGAGTCACTGACCTGCTATAAATAAGAACAAGTGTGTGTACGCAAGTTGGTTCCACCGATTTAGTCATCGTGTGTGGGACTCCCTTTGATTCTCTTTGATTGTTTTTTACGATTCTAGAGGTCCAAGCTTTGAATTTTGTTGGGATTTGCACATATTCTGTCTCCCCCCCGCAAGTAGACACTAAATAATAATGAGCAGAACTGAACTTCTTAAATATGTATCTGACGAGATGTATTTTATTATTTTGTGAGAAAATTATAGAAATTTGACACAAAAACAGACATAAAACCTCAACTTTAACGTCAGCTAAAGCAATTTCAGCTGCTCTGTTTTGTGTTTGAACACAAAAATAATTTTCTTTTCTTCGTAATTTATTATTTAACCTTCAACGACATGGAATAAAACATGATAATAAACACTTTTGGTTCATATAAGTTTGAAAATGAAGTAAATATCACCTGATAGGAGTAAAAGCACATTACATGATGCATATTAGAAACAGCCCGACATTGTTGTGATCTGTTAAAGTGGTCTTGATCATCAGATCTTCAGGCTTTCAAAGTTTTTTGGACTTTTGTTCATTTTCTGCCCAATTCTCATACCAGACCATAATAAGTCCGAGATATAAAAACAGCTATCTTCAAGTCAAGTCCTAAAGAAACAGGAAGAAATCCATCAGAGCTGACCCGAAGAGAAGCATCATGCTTCTGCATGTGAAGTTTTCAGATAAATGCTTTTTGGAAATCATCATGATGAAGCTAAAATTCTATTTCCTCTGTCAATCTGTGTTATCTTTGGTATATGAATTATATTTAAAGGGAGCAAGTTAAGTTTGTGATATGACGCTGTGATTAAACTCGCTTCTTTGCTCAGTTTCTGTCGTGCGGTGACACAACACAGGTTCATCCCTTGAGTTATAGAGTCTTTTACCGCCTGAATGAGTTTCACGTCAGAGTTACGCAGTTCAACAGACGAATGTTCGTCAAAAAATGGACGGGTAGAGGACAGAAAGTGGTGAGAAAGCAGCTGAAGTCCAAAGAAGTGCTTCAGAAAGCCTGAAGAGCTGTTGATCAGAATCACTTGAAAAGATTACAAGTAAACCTGGCTGATTAGAAAAATTATTGCCGTAAAAGTACAAAGTATAACTTGAGTATATGACTTCTCCCAATCAGTAATCTTCAAAAATATGTTAAGAATTTATACACAGATTCAGAAACCCAAGTTTCTGTTCTGTGTGATAACAACTGAGTATTTCCTGATAAGGTAGGCTTTTTTCAGATTATCTTTTTTTTTTCAATAAATCAGTGGAGAAAATAACCGAAGTCTGAACCCTGCGCGAGCAGACTTTGTCCTCAGTGTCCCCGTGTCCCAACATTATGCTCCATATGCCGCAGATTCCCACACACAGCGCAGTTTTTTCCCCTGCCCTGGGGTCTGAGGCTTCCTACAGACAGGAGAGAGTGGAGCCAAGCCCACTCTGGAGGTCCCCGGGGGTCAAAGTCTGCACCCGAAGCCTCACCCCGGACTGAGAGCTCCCTCTTAGCGAGGACAGGGCCAGGGTCACGGGTGCTGAGATTTACGGCCCGCTCTTTGTGTTGTGTGTTACTGCTGCACTGCTACAAAAGGACGGCGGTGTCTGCTCTGTATGGAGGCAATTATAGTAATGATAATGAATGTCCATATTAAACCTTTGCTCACAAAACTCCTTTCTGCAGTTCCAATAATAAGAGGAGATCAAGAATGCAACCTCCGAAACGAGAAGAAAACAAAAGTGTCCCTCTGTCGTCTCACCCTGACTGAACTAAACTGATCCTCTTACCTGTTTCACTTTAACCCTGTTGGTGCTAATCCCAGATTAGTTACACAATCTGATCATGTAGAGATCTGAGGTGTCTCCCTTCGCTTCTTTTTATTTCCTCTTTTCAGCCGTACCTGCCTCGTGTCACTCATCTTTTGTTGCCTTCTTCTGCGCTCCAGTATTTTGGTTGATCTGTCCCTGTGTTGCATCGAGTTCCCTCAACACACACACTCATATATACATAGGCCTGTCGTGATAACAAATGTTGCTGGGCGATTAATTGTCTCAGAAATTATTGCGATAAATGATAATATTGTTTGAAATTTGACAATAATTAGTAATTATTGTCAAATTTAAGAAGAAATGTTGAATTTGTTTTGCCTGTAGTACCTTTTTTCGACCAGCAGATGGCAGTATAAGACTGTTTGAACCAAAGGATGGATAGTGAGGAAGTGAGCAGCGTGTGTCTTTAAGAAAAATGGGAGGGAGGCCCCTTGACGTGACATGGGCCGTCTCTCTTCGGTTCTCAAAATGGTGGATGCTCGGTGTGGTTTGAGCTCTTTAGCATAGCATTTTTCACACAAAGCTTTTAATAAAAAATAAAAAAAATAAACAAGTTTTCAGCTTTTTTTTTTTGCAGAGAAAAACTTTTTACACGAAGGCACGAGTTTCAACTGTGAATTTTGGAGCTTTGACAAGACAAAGTTTTTTTCCCGAGGTCAGCCTGTTAGCTTAGCTCATAGCTTAGCTTCTCAGCTTAGCTGCTTTTAACGATCCAAAAACTGTAAGGATGGTACTTTTCTGTGGCCCGGTTTGTGTCTGTTTCCCTCGTGCTCCCTCATTAGTTCCATTAGTACCACCTGTGTCTCGTCCCAGCTGTTTGTCATGTCTCGTCTTCTCCCTGTATTTAAGCCGTCCTATTCTGTCTTGTTCTTTGCCGGGTCGTCTTCGTTGGGTACTCTTCCTTGGGTCTTCTGAGTCTTTCCCTGAGTATTCCTGGTCCCTCGAGTTCCTCGTGTCTCTCGTGTCTCCTGAGTTCCCCGTGCCTCCTTCCTTGTTCATGTAAGTTTTGCTGCCCCGTCAGCTTGTTTATTTTGTACTTTTCGTTTATCATTAAAAACCTATTTTTGTATATCTGCCGAGTTGAGTCCCTGTTCTGCACTCTGGGTTCGCTCCTGACACAAATCCTGACAAAAACGTGATTTTGGACGGTTAAAATGGATTTTAAAGTGAAAAGAGAAAGGGAGGGGTCAGTGAAGAACTCCGGAGTTGAGCCTTTTGTCATCCAGTGTCTTCAGTAGAAAGAGAAAGACACAAAGAAACGATAGACAATAAATGAAAATGAGGTCGATAATTTTCATTTATTATGCGAATAATTGATTTATTGTTTACTGCGACTGGCCTATACTGTATATACATATATATTCTCCTCACATTCCCTGGCAAGAAGCATGTTGTTATACAAGATCTATCCAAATAGCATCAGTGAATCTGTAGCATTCATTATTGTCACTAACAACAGGAGGCAGCAGGAGCTGCAGCTTGATAAAGTGTTGGTGTTGTGGTTTTGCATCAACACTTTTGAGATAATTTAAGGACTTATAGCATTCCTTGAAGGAATGCACATCACCCTCTGTATTTTATTTACAAATTTTAAATGAAGAACATCATGATGAGAAGGAAGGGACTTATAGCCTTTTGTCATACCTTTTAATAGACATGGAATGCGATTTAATGGGACATTGCAAGATCTGTTAGTGCTTAGATTATGTGTCCTGAATGACTTTCAGCTACTACCACATTGAATTTTAGCTCATTGTTGACAAATTTAGCTAAGTTATTGTCATTTTTGTGTTTGGTAAAGCTGATTAGCTCTGATGGTCATCTTACATTTGGGTTGACTCCAAAGTTAAATCAGAATCTTATCAAAAGCTTTTGACACTGTGAGTTATGAAATCTTATCAAAAATGTTTTCTTATGGTTTCAAAAATGGCTTGAAAATTATTTGCACAACAGAGAGCAAATTTTATTTTTTTTAATGGTAAATTGTCACAGCAGGATGTTCTAAAATGTGGCATTCCACAAGGATCCATTTTGGGCCCATTCTTGTTTCTCATATACATAAATGATTTATCAAAAGCATCCAGTATTTTGTCACATGTTATTTGCTGATGACACCAATCTCTTTATTACTGACAGTAAACTTGACTCACTTATTGATAAGGCAAATTATGGGCTCATTCAGTTTGCCCAGTGCTTTCAGTTAAACTATCACTTAATGTAAAAAAAAAAATCTGATTTAATCTAATTTAAGAATAAGACAGAATTACAATCTAGAAAAAAATAAAATTTATATTAATAATTTACTCTCCAATGTTTCATCAAAAAAGTTTTTTAGGTGTCTTTATTGATGAGAAACTTTGTTTTAAGAATCATTGTGAATCTGTGTGTAAGAAAATATCTCAAAATCTTTAAGTATTATAAAAAAAGGTTGAACCCTATTTAAAAACAAGTACTTTAACAACCTTAAACGAGTTGTTGAATTAAATTCAATTATTACTTTTGGAAAGTTTCAATAAAGTTTGTCTAGTAGTTCTTGAGATATTTTGCTAACAGACAGTGTTAACTTCATCAATGTCAAAACTAAGATACACAATGTAGAACACTTAAAGTATGTGTTGAATTTATGTAGCTAAATATCTGCAAAGTTGACCGAGTTGTACATGAGTTGTATTTTCTTAGACCATTTGGTTGTGGCGGCCATTTTGAATTGGGTTGACTCGATTGTAGTACACCCACTGATTATTTTCTGAAGGGTTTATTAAAATTTTGCTATCATAGAGATAAAATCACTGACGCAAACAAGTAAAAAACGTTAACTAAATATAAATAAACTGATTCCACAATTGATTTTTGTGTTCATTACTAATTCTAACTATTTGTTAAGTATTTAAGTAAGAATCTAAAATTTAAAAGCAATAATTATATATATATTTATTTTATTTTTTTTTTTGGATACCATTTTTTTTTTAGATGGTTCAGTTTAGATTTACATTACTTTAGATATACAATACAGTACAAATGTTTCAAGCTACAACTTTGTGGAGTTTTGAAGTCAAGCTCGTCTGTCTGTTAGCAAATAATTTCACAAACCATTGAACTGACTTTAACCACATGCTCAGAAAATATTGATTTAATGTACATCTAGAAGTGATAAACTTCCAAAGTCAATCCAATTTAAGACGGTCCCTTCAGCTAGTTCATCGTCGTATGAATCGGCCTTACGAAAGTTTTAAAAAAAAACAACTTGAAAATTAGTTTTGAGTTATTTTTTTCAGACTTTTTCCTTCTGGATTTGTACAGATCAGGTGCGTGTGCGATGTCCCTCCTTGTTGAGCCCGCTCAAAACAAATCAGACCTATCTGGGTCAGGTTCTGTTTGCATCTCTTCAGTCCTGCCTCACTATAGACAGGCTCTATAGAGCGCCAAAACCTTCAGCATTATGTAAGTGAGAAGTCTGCTGCGTTGGCCTCAGCAGGAGGCCCACAAAAGAAAATGGGTTAGGTTGTTATTATCCCCCTTTCAGTTCGTCACCGCTCCCCCCAGACCCTCATTGGTTATGCTAACCATTATCACACCAGAGTGCCTGTTCGCCAGGGTTTGTCTCTAACAAAGTGCAATTAATGATCATTAGCTGATCTGTCCTGCCTCATCCCCATCAAATCCAGTCCTGAATTGGAAGAAAAGGGCCAAGCGTGGTCCTGGGTGCACTCGGGCGTGCATTGTGCTGCATGGTCTAATGCTAGGTCGTTGAGCGCTGGATGAGGAGGTCCTCATTAACTTCGGGCGCTCGTTAGAGAAGCCACACGCTGCACCAAAGTGGTCCATCCCAACACAACTGGTCCTGTCTCCGAATTGCTGGCTTTTGCAGCTCTGCGACTGGTCACATTTCACCAGTGTGTGCTCTAACAAGTCCCGCTCTCACTGCTCTCACCCCACCCACCCTAACATACACACTCAGCAGCCACCCCCAAACCAGAGCAGTTTTATCCGTTAATGTGGCGGGAGGTCTTCGTGTGCCGACGCATTGTTTGTCAGCGAGGCCACTGTGAGCAACCACAATGGGCTCAAAACACTTTACCGTCACTTCTCGGCAAACACGAGGTCACTCGGGACAAAACCGCCAAAAATGAGCCGCCATGACACGACACAAACGAAACAACACTCGAATTAGGCCACCAGACTTACTTGTACGATTTAAAGTGCATTAGTAGTTTTGATTTTACATTTAAAAATATGTCCTTTTTAGCTTCACGGAAATCTAAAGAAATTATTTTAATTAAAATCCTACCTTCACTTGCCATCTTTCATGCCAGAGTTTTAGACAAAAGTCAACTTATGATTAGAAATGACAGAGTTATGTGTTAAAAATGACTTTCAGCTACTGCCACATCAAAATACAGCTCAATGTCTGCGAAACTGACTGAGTTATGGCCATTTTTGTTTAAGATGAAGTCAGTTAGCTGTGGTGGCCATCTTGAATTGGAATGACACCAGCAGTTAATCAAAAATTATTTTCTGTAAGTTTAATCAAATCTTTTCGGTGGTTTATAAAATATATTGGTAACAATATGCAAATACACAAACGGACCTTTGAAGGGCTTGTTAAAATCTGGATTTATTTGATATTTATCAAATAAAACCTAACTGGGATGATAAAAATGTAGCATCCAAGAAGACTGAAACTTGTCATTTCAACACCATCTGAATTTTTATTTATTTTTTTTTTCTAGCATTGCGCTGCTCTGGGTTGGAGTATCTGTTACTTTTATTCGGAGTTATTGCTTTTGGAAACTTTAATTCCTCTTTTTTTCTGGATGTAAATCGCTTTTTTGGATGATTATTTACCCTGGTATCAGATGCTGTGCAGCTGCAAGGATTTTTACTGATACCTTTTTACTTTTGTGCATTTGTTATGATGCGTAACCATGGCAACAAGTATATATATATATATATATATATATATATATATATATATATATAACCAGGAGCAGCTAATTAATAATCAAAAGCTCAACTATCTCAACTACAGCCCCAAATCCCAAATGAGTTGAAAAGGAGGTGCCGTGAACGAATTCCCGTCAACCTGGCGGCGGGAGTACCTGACTGCCGAGATCCTGGAGCTGGTGGGAAACTTGGCTCGTGACAACAGGAGGACTGGGATCATCCCCCAGTACCTTCGGCTGTTTGTCCGTGACGACGAGGAGCTCAGCAGACTGCTGGGAGGAGTGACCATCGCTCAGGGAGGAATTCTGACTGGCATTTGGGCTGTCCTGCTGCCCAGGAGGACCGAGAGGCCCAATGGATCTGACAGCAAGCTGGATCTGGGTGGATGGATCAGTATCTGTGGCCAGATCCTTCAGATTTGCAGCAGGAGATCCTTCCTGCCCACAGCCATCAGCCTCTATAACAACTCTTGAATGAGACCAGGATGATGAGCTACGACGACACTTTAATTTCCCTTTGGGATTAATAAAATATATTGAATTGAACTGAATTGATTTCCTTTTTGCATGCTTAACTTTATTAAATCCTTTTTCAAAAAGTTATTCCACGTCTCTTTGCTGACTGTTTGTCTCTTTGCTTGCAGTGAGTTCATGCGATCACTAATCAGCAACATGGACTTCCGCTCTCTTGAAGTGAGGCTCTTCAAAGCGAAGGTAAAGCTTCCTCGCCACGTTTGTGCGTTTGCTTTTGTTTACACAGAATGCACTCGACGCAGCATCCGATTAGTCCGATCCCATAGTCACTGACTTCCTCTCCGCCTCACTTTTTTTTTTTTTTTTGTGGCTCTGCAAATATAATTATAATGAAATCAACAAGAAGACTCAGCGAGCAGCGATTCCAAAGCTTGCTGTGTGCAGCTAGCGGTTGTCAAGAGAGGCACTCAGCCCTCGTGCATAGAAATGAGGGGAGCAAGCCCAAAGAATAAGAAGGGAGCTTTTCTCTTTTCATAGATTAGCACGGCCCTAATCTCATTAAAGTGTCCAGCAGTGAACATGCCGTCCACTCCGCTCTGGCTCTGTAATCAGCCCGAGACACACGGCTCGTCTCAGATGGTCCGGGACGGGCCTACCAGCTGGCTGCTCACAGGCCAGGCCGGCCCTCATTCATGCGAGGAAGTGCTGAGCAACAGAGCGATGGGCGCAACATGAAAGCCGGTGTGTGTGGAAAGCGAGCCTCTAGCCAGGTAGGAGAGGCTTTGTAATTACAGAGCTGTTAGGGATAGGGTTGTTAACTGGAGAGGCTGCTGGAGGGGGAGGGGGCTAATTGCCAAAAGGATGGTTCCTCCCTCCACTCAACAATTATTACCTAGCATGCATTAACTGTGCAAACAGGTGCGCTCAAACAAGAGTGTGGAAATCTGAGGCTGTGGCACACAAAAACACGTGCACATGAACATACTCTCACACAAAAGCAGCTCACGTCCTGCTTTGGGTTGAGTTCACTTCAGGTGAAGCTTTGGTTCCAAAAGAAAACACCAGGCTGCTTCTGGTGAGCGCTCCTTTCAACTAATGACTTCTGAATGTATGAAGAAGAAGATTAGAGGCCTAGTGTTCCTTGAAGGAATGCATATCACCCAAATGACAGCTGTAGTCTTTTTGATGTCACCCACAGAGTGCGTGTTGTGAAGGTTATTTACAACCACATCACGTTTTAGCTTAATATCTGTTTATTAATTGACTGAATTGTAGTGATTTTTGTGTTTTGTATGAGTCGACTGTGGTTGCCATCTTGAAATAAATTACCGTATTTTTCGGACAACAGGGCACACTTCAAATTGACAGTGAGCCTTATAATCCAGTGTGTTTTATGCATTAATTCTGGTCGTGCTTACTGACCTCAAACTGATTTTATGTGGTTATTGTGAATGTGTTGAATAAAGTTTGACTTATCTGACAGGGTTTTTTTTTACTTATGCCCCTTATAATCTGAAAAATACAGTACGACAAAATGCAAGGAATTGTAGATGTACATTTAGTACATGCACAGCGCTGCATGTCTAAAACGATTGTCTGCTCACCTGCAGCAACTCTTCCTGTTCCTCCTGGAGGAGAAAGGGGAAGATTCAGGCGCTCAGCAGGGCTTCATAAGCAACAAGCAGCTGCTGCTGGAGCTGAAGGCCGGCGGCATCCATCTGGACCAGGAGGCGGCCATCAGACTGGAGCTGCAGCACATTCCTCCACTGGACCTGCTGGACTTCCTGGCCTACCTGCCCCTCTTCATGCTCATTCACAAATCTGTGATCTCCAACCCATTCAATGACTCCAGCCGCCTCTGAGCGCCGCAGCTGCAATTTGTGGACGACTCAAGACTATCAGAGAAGGCTGAATCAAAGCAAGTAAATAAATATTAAATAGGACATTACATAAAATGATAGCTTTTTAATGGTCTTTAATTTTGTTTCACCAAATCTGTTCAACTTTGATCTTTGAGTTTGTTCTCAAAACGTATCCCAAAAGTCTGAGCGTTCTAAATAAAACTTTTATCTCCTGAACATTTATGATTCATTACTGTGATCACAAAGAGCTTTACAGAATCGGTGCTGCAGAACAGTATTCAATTTGAGAGTGACATGAAAAATAAGTTAACAGAACTTGTGTACATAAACCTCCTGAAAATATCGAACAAGTTCGAGTCAGGTCCTCTGGACGAATTCTTCTTTGTTGAAACGTTTTGCCTTTTATCCAAAAGACTTCTTCAGTCCTGAAAAAGTCCATCCATCCATTATCTTTACCCACTACTTCCTTTTCAGGTCACAGGTTCATGGTGCCCATGTCCAGCAATCACTGTGCGAGAGGTGGGGGACACCATGGACAGGTCTCCAGTCCATCACAGGGACACATAGAGACAAACAAGACAAACAACAATTCACTCTCTCACTCACACCTAGGGACAATTTAGAGTTACCAATCAGCCTAACATGCATGTTTTTGGTCTGTGGGAGGAAACCGGAGAACCCGGAGAAAACCCACGCATGCACAGAGAGAACATGCAAACTTCACCTAAAGGTCCCTGGCCGGATTTGATCTGGTGACCTTCTCGCTGAGAGGCAACAGCTCTACCAACTGAGCCACCATTCCACCCTGAAGAAGTCTTCTGGATAAAAGAAGAAGCATTTCAAGAAAGAAGACTCCATCCAGACAACCTTGTTAGATTTATATTGAACACGCATCAGAATCTCCTGAAAATGTATTTGTAGGTTCTCAAAGTTTTATACATCTGTCACCAAACTGTGGGCGGCAATTCATACTGTAATACATCCTGGTGCCTACCCTCAGCCTAGCAGTATACTTTACACCACATGTGTCAAAGTCAAGGCCAGTGGGCCAAATCTGGCCCTTGATAACATTGTATCTGGCCCCTAATCATTTCTCACTTTGCTTAAAAAAAAAACTACTAAATACTTTGTTTAGTGCAGACCTCTCAGGGCAGTTTGTTAACTTTAAATCCAGAAAAAAGGTCATTTTTTTCAGTAAGCTTTCATTTTGACAGAAAGAGCAATGGAGAACATTAAATGGGACCAATTAAAGTCTTGTTGATGACCCTGCAACCAACATGTCGGCTATCTGACTGGAGTATATTGACTGAAATCGACCCTTGGCTTGGACCAAGTTTTTAATTTTGGCCCCCTTTTGTAACTGAGTTTGACTCCCCAACCAAGTACTCAGTACAGTATAACAAGCCATTTCATAACTAAACCCAGATCCTGTAGGTCTCCTGTAAGTTTTAGGCATGCGGTCAGTAAGTATCATGTACTTATCTGGTTGTTAGAACCAAATACAGAAGCACATCTGTCTGGTCCTTACCCTGTAAGAACCAGGTTCCATAATTGACAGTGGGGGAGGTCTACTTTATGTCTGAAGTTATAAAATCAGATTCTTCCATGCTTAAATGTGAGAAATGTTTTTAATGTATGAAGATATACTTTGAATGGTAATTCAAACCCCTAACCTGATTTTTTTTTTTTTACCTATTTTGTGAGAGTCCAGATCAAACCCTCCCTTTTCTCTCTTTAATTCAAACAATGGACGTTTGGTCTCACTATGTAAATTTTGTGCGTGTTCAAAACCATCATGGGTCTATCTGTTGTGAAGAGAAAACTGTTCTTATTGCACACCTAAAAACCAAAGACCATCCACATTCTGGCTGATATATATATATATTTTAATATTATCTGAAAACCTAAAAACTGTCTTTGCTTTACAATTTGTTGTTATGTTGTTTATTTGTCACATGCAGGTTAACACAAGGTCAACTGTGCAATGAAATGTTCAGGATGAGAAGAACTGCGCGACTCGCTAAAACCAAACAAGAAATACCCAAGCAATCAATAAAGGTGCATATTTGGTGTTAAATTCTGGAGTTATTGAAACATAAATTTGAATTTATGCTTATTTCCTGATTTATAAACAAAAAAATGTGCTGGCAGATTTTTTTTTCTCCTTTGAATCACCAAATGTTTCATGTTCACTGTGACCAAAAGGGTAATATAATGAAAATCCACGTTTTAGTTAAATCTGCATATCTTCTGTTATTTTTATGTTTCTAGAAGTTTTCCATGTATTCCTGCCAGACCCCTGTGTGGCCCACGGACCCTCTTTTGAAAATAATTGATGGAAACCTGAACACAACATTAAGTTATTTCTTATTTCTTTCTTGAAATAAAAAAAAATGTGAATCTGAGTTAAATGTTTCATTTTATTTATTTATTTACTTTTTTCTCCATCCTCTGAAGTAAAACCAAAGGGATGTGAAAGACATGCACAAACACCAAGCTCCCCACTCCTCTTCCCCAGGTGGTGTTTGTGTGTTCAGCGACATGCTGCTGTCAGGAGGCACACGCCATCAGCCAGTTCGGCTCCATGTCTCCACTCGACCACAATCCAGACTCCATCCGCTCATTAAAGCAGACACGCGCCCGGGCTGCAGCTTCTGTCCTACCTGTCACACAAAAACTCGAACCCCCCTCACAGACCCCCGCTGCTCCCCCCACACGCAAATAGGCCCACTTCCCTTTTATTTTTAACGTTGACTTCAATGTAGCATCAGAACTTAATTTTCTCCAACTTTAAAATCCTCGCCTTTTACGCACGGATTAAAGCTGAACAAACCTCTCTGTGGGACAGCACAGAACTCAAGTTTTATGGGAACGTTTTTGTTTACTTGAATATTTTAAGGTAAACAATCCCCGTTTATCGCATCTTAATGTTTACCTCCCCCTCCCCCCCCCCCCCCCCCCCCCAAAAAAAAAAAAAAAAAAAGTAGAAAACGTTTTAGAATATAGAGCTTTAATGCCTTTTACGCACGTTTCCCACTTGTTTAAAACAGTTTCTGGTGTTGCAGATAATACAAAAGAGACTAAACAGAGCTGACCAGTGAGGGCTTCTGAGAAGGAGCTGAAAACAAAAGCGTTAATGAGCCACTCTCTCCTAGATTTGAAATTATTTGATAAGAACGAATGCGTAAAATGCGCGTAACTGTGCGTAAAAGTGGATTTCTTCTGTAATAAAGTCTGTTGTGCCTTTTTTTATTCTATCCCGGGTATCATCATCTCTTGATCAGACATTTACCCCGTTCCTTAAATAAAAAGAAGTCATGGAAAGAATAAATTTAATAGCATCTCCTTTTATTCTCAGACTGTAGAAAATATGGTTATAAAGAAATAGCATCTGTTTATGTAAGCAGATATAGAGCTGGCAGTACAAACATACAACGCATGGCCATCGCACTGTTTTGGTACAATAGCTGCATAAGATTTGATCATTGTGACACATAATGCAACAAGATGAGTGTTTTTGCCATTAAATAAGACACATTGGTGCTAGAATCAAACATCGGAGCGTCAAACTCCTTCTGGAAACCTCGTGAACAGAAGAGCCAGAGAAATAGATCTGCATTAGCAGGAGGTAATAGAAGCAACTTCGCAATATATTCAAAATATATACAAAAGGATGTGTACAAAACATCTATAAATCTCTTACATACAAAAATATCTTAATATGTTTCTAAAAAAAGGCGTTTGATATAGAATTTAATAGAATAAATCCGCGACTTGGAAGATTTACTGATTTAGAGGTTTCCTAAAGTGGGTGGGTTTTTTTTAGCATAGATGAGGAGCAACATTTTAAATAATGTTTTTCTTGTGCTGCCGATGAGCGTGAGTCCACTTCTTTTGTTTATCGGACCAGGATCCCCCTTGCTGCTGGGGGGGAACCGTCTTCGTTTAATCCTTTGGCGCAGATCTCTGGGCTGATCATCCCCAAGTTTCCAGGACCTCGCGGCCTGTTCAGTCAGCCAGTGGAGGACTGGTGAGTTAGGACGCAGTGCATCTTGTTCTCGAGGACCACCAGTCGCTTCCCGGACCACCCCAAGCTCAACATGATGTGTTGATCCTTCTGTGAGGGAGACAAAAAGAACAGTTGAATTTGGAGTTCAAAGTCAGTGATTTGTTTCATCTTAATGACGTCATCTCTGCTTACAGATGCTCAGAACCAGTTGGTGAAGTCCAGCAGCTCCTGCTCCTCCGGGCTGAGGGGGTCATATGAGCCCTCATCAGATGAGTAGGAGGACACGGGTGAGCCTGCCATGGAGTTCATGTCCGCGGAGTATCCCTGCGACATGCTGGGCGACAGGACGCCGGACTGGAAGGCGGCGCTCACCGCGTCGTGCTCGTCCAGCAGCTGCTGCAGCGCGCGGATGTACTCCACGGCGGAGCGCAGCGTCTCCACCTTGCTCATCTTCTTGTTGGCGGCGCCGTTGGGCACGTGCTCGCGCAGCGTGGCGAAGCCGTTGTTGACCAACTTGACGCGGTTGCGCTCCCGCTCGTTCCGCCGCGCCACCGCGTGCGGCTGCTGCTGCGGCAGCGTGTAGCCGAAGCCCGCGAAGTTCAGGCGCCGCTTGCAGCGCAGCAGCTCCGGGGACGAGGAGCGCGCGCGCTTGGGCTGCTTGGACTTCCCGCTGCTCTGGCTGCTCTGGCTGCTCTGGCTGCTGCAGCTCGGGCTCAGCTGGATGCTCTGCGCCGCCGCTGCGGCCGAGAAGAAGCAGGCGGGCATCAACTGCTGCTGCATAATTTCCATTTTGGCTGTGAGCTCCATCCCCGCAGAGAGAAAGAAGCAATAAAGATGAAGCACCGGGTTTCCAGGCGGTGCGCGCCGCTCGTGCCGTTCACGTGTTGTTGCGCACTTGTTTCAGAGGGGCAGTCCGCCTGGCTGCTGCCTGGCGCGCTTCTCAAAGCTCTGAGTCCTGCAGACAGACGCCACCGCTTTTCAATGCCTTTGGATTGGGTGGGGGGGGGTTGGCCACGCCCACTGGTCGCGTGTGTACACCTTAGACTCCTGCGCCGGGTACCGGTGAGTTGCGCGCGCCGGACGCGTGCCACTTGAAGCACTAAACAAACAGGCAGGGGTGCGTTTGGTTTTGTTTCGAGTCAGGAGGAGCGCGCGGAGCAACAAGTCCCGAACCAGTTCATCAAGTTTGCTCATCTCAGAGCGGCTCGTGCTAATTTTATTATTAATGTTATCAAAAATTAATATGAACAAATTGATTGCCTCTTTAAGGAAGTAACAGCACAATTTAATCTGTTTGGGCGAGTTTAGGTGTTTAACATCGTAAAGGAATAAAGCAGTGTGGGTCTGAGAGGCAGCTCACCTGAGGCGACCGGAGCCGCTTTCACGCGTCATTTTTCCTCTCAGAGCTCACGAGCTGGAGATGCTGGTTGGACTCGGTCCAGGTTTTATTGTTACCAGAACAGACGCGCCCCAGTGCCGCCTGATTTCAGGCTCTTATTGTGCAGCAGAGGCTGGATGTTCCACTTTGATTGGAGCCGATCATCCGGCTGCACCAAGCGGAACGCTGAGGCGCAAACTGGTGTTGGTGGTGTGTGTGTGTTCTTTGTGAATGATTTGCCACACTTAGTGTGCTTACAGTGGCGCGGACGGGGTGTGTGCTCCTGATTATTGTTGCTTTGAGACTCGAAGGATGATGAAACAATAAAAGAGGACCGAACTGTTCCCTGCGCTAAGCGTCTTTACGCGTGCGTAAAACCAAACCCACCTTATAAGGTGTGCAGCTCGTTTGAACATTTTTTTTGCAAATGTGCGTGTGCGTATGTGTGTGTGTGTGCGTGCCCCTTTTCATTTTTTCCCTCTATTTTTGTGTGCGTTCATAGCTACAGCCACCAGAACGCACACCCACCCACGTATACTTTCATTTCTTTCCTCACCCCCTTATTCACCCTCATCTCCTCCCCCCTTTTCGCCCAGCAGAGTTTTAAAGAGGAGGCGTCGGTTCTTTTCTCCCCCCCCCCCCCCCCCCCCCCCCACCCCCAATCCACTGCCTCCACGCAACCTCCAGGCTTTCTGAAACCTATCCATGCCCCTTCTCAGGGGGGCTTCCAGAGTCCAATTAGCGCTTTGTGAGGACTTTGCTGGTCTTCCTCAGGCTGAGGAACCACTCGGACTCTTCAGTCCAAACAGACTGTAATAATTATTCTGACATCTAAGCGTCCTAACCCCCCATTTATTTACTACTTTTTGTATTTTTCCTTCTTTCTTTGTAATCAAACAAAACGTTAGAAGGGTTAGACGTGATCTGTGACAAAAGGGATTATGTTTCAATTTGATTATCATTATAATTAATTTGAAATGAAACAAACGGAAAACTCTGATTTGACCATTTGACAATGGTTTTAAAACCTTAGAGGTAATCATTTGTCACGAAAATGAGAATACCAAATCCTTTACAAAAATCATATTTATTTATTAAAAATAAAAAATTAAAACACAGAAATACTCAACGACTTTAAACGGTCCTTTTAAACATTTATCTTCAGTTGTTTGTCCTGCCACTGAAAACCTAGAGGTGTTTTCTGCTGGATTAAACAAGTTGTTGTAAAATACCTCCCTCTAGTGGACAATTGTAGGATCAGCAGCAAGAATAAAACTGATATGATTTATTTTTTTTCCATTATTTCTACACGTGTAAAATTTTTAAAGAGGAAAAAATTATAATAATCCAAAGTGTAATGTGACAGCTGACATTTACATTTATTATATCTGAGTTCTGGAAAGGACAATTGCATTGTTAGACACTTTAAATTCAAAAGATTTTATATTTGTTTTATTGTCATGTTATTTTCTGGTATGAAAATTACATAATACGTTGGAATTGTTTAATAAATCACACACAAGCCACTTTTTTATTTTTGTCAAATAAAATAAACTGTTGTTTTCAACAGCATTGAAGGCTGCTGAAATAGTTTTATTCATCCATTTTTTTCTTAAATTTCTATATATATATATTTCACAGTAAATTATATGACAATACACAAATAACATGGAAGAAAAACACGGTGCATGTGCTCTCTTCATGCTTTTTATTAAGATAGAGAAAACTAAAAAAAAAATTGTCTAAACCAAACAAAATGACTAGTTATAAAAGGTTGCCACATGAAAACAAATCTTTATCATTATGTGTTTTATTAAAAATGTATGTGGATAGGAATTATTCAACTAAAAAAGCCGTTTTAAATCAATTAATCTCAACACAATAAAAATGATTATTGACAAAACGTCGTGTTATTGTATTCAAAAACTTAAAATATGTTTCTTAGTTTTCACAAGATAGAAACTCTTAAATAAAAACACAGATTTGGTTTGCGGATCAGCATTTTTGACTTCACCGAGCTTCTGTAGTTTTTAGTCACGTGGTTTTGTTTTCGAGGAAGTGGTGCTGCTGCGAGAAGAGTTAGCGGCTGTTTCTTGTTTTTATCAGACAACAAATTTGGACTATCTTGGTGAAATAAAGCAGCAGCAATGCGCTCTTTAAACTTTGTTCACCAGGTCAGCTTGGACTTCTCAGGAACCATGTTTCCTCACGCCATCTGTTTGGGAGACGCAGACAACGACTCGGTAATGTAGGGGTTTTTTGTGTGTGTGTGTTGTTTTCTTAATTAAATTGAGTCTTGAAATGTCATATGGGAATTTGTCCGTCAAAATGAAAGTGCACATTTAATGTGTTCATCTAATTTATATTTAGTTAATTGAAGTTTGGGCCACAGATCTGTCTCTTAAGAAAATTCCTTCTCCTAATTTATATGTTGGACAGAAGCAGATCATAATTTAAGAAGTAATGTTATGTTAACCAACCTGTTTTACTACTTGAAGTCTTGAAACCGTCTTCCTAACGTGCGCTCACATTTTCTGTCTTCCACTAATCCCCATAAAGCTATCAAGTGTGTTAAAAAAATATAAATTAAACAAAGAAATGCCCTTTGTTTAACTGAATGTCTACTTAGTAGTGACTAGAGCTGGACGATATCGCGATATTTAAAAAATATCGAGATTTTTATTTTATTTTTTTTGGACGTAAGTATAGTTTTCTTCTTTCTCCTCACTGACTCCTTCCTTGCAATAAACCACGTTCAGAACTCATTTAGCCGTGCTGTGCCTTTTAGAGGAACACAGAGCGGAAGCACGGCATTAATTTATTAATATATGTAAATAGATGTCTAAAAAAAATAAACAATAAAATTTTTTTAGGCATTTATTTTGTACAGTTACCGCTGTTTATAAATGTGCCTGTGTGACAATTGCGACAAAACTTTGACTCAAATATATTTTTGTTATTACTTAATGGAAAGAAAAAATATTGTGATATATATCGTATATCGCAATTTTTGTAAATAAATAAAAAATATTGAGATTCATTTTGGTCCATATTGCCCTAAGCTTTTTTTCTTTGCAGAGAAGTAAAGATTTCAGACAAACAATATCAGCATAATGGGTCAATTATCACCCAAACGCCTATAAAATATTGCCCCTACTGATTTATCGATCGGGCTCGATTGCAAAGTATTGTTTTGATCAGCTGTTCGCTCAGTTTCAGCTCCTGCAGCAAAGTGAGACGCCGTCTGTTTGCCTCGTCTGCAGCTGAACGAACTGATCGTTGGAGACACGAGTGGAAAGCTGCTTGTTTACAAGAATGACGATTCCAAGCCCTGGATCACTAGAACCTGCGTGGGCATGGTCAGTGCAGAACCAGCAGAACCAGCACACGAATCATTTCAGAGCAAATGGGATGGATGCGTAACGTGTCGTGTGTTCACAGCTGACGTGCGTCGCGGTTGGAGATGTCTGCAACAAAGGAAAGGTGAGAAAAGGAGAGAAACCGTGGCAGCTGGATGTCATCGCATGTTAGAAGTGACCCGACTGAGTTCTTCCTGTGCGTCTGTCAGAACCTGGTCGTTGCTGTGGGTGCAGAGGGCTGGTTTCACCTCTTCGACCTGACAGCTGCCAACCCCAACAAATCGGATTCCTCGAGCCAGCACGAGCTCCTGTCTCTCGATGACCAGAGGCCCTTCTTCACCCAGCATATTCCTGCCAACACCAAAGTCATCCTCATAAGCGATATTGGTACAATTCTCGCAGGCTGTGCAGGTCTTTTCTGTCTGTTAGCAAAATATTTCAGGAACTATTAGAGATATTTTGTTGAAACTTTCAGAAAGTTACCACTTGATGTACAGCTACAACTATTTAGATTTTGGAGTGGCCCTGATTAAAAATGGCCGCCACAGCTAATCAACTATAGCGAACACAAAAATGGCTATAACTCCATCAAATTTACAGATATTTAGCTTAAATTGAATGTGGTTGTAGCTGAGAGTCCTCCCCAACCCTTCCTCTGAAGGCTAATAGACTGCTTGAGATTGTTGGGTAAAACGCTGCAATTACCGGTTGGCAACTTTTGTTTTTTGTCTGTTAGCAAAATATCTCATGAACTACTGGGCAAATTTCAGTAAAACTCTCAGGAGGTTATGACTAAATGTTCAGTGCAAAGGATGGACATTTGAAATCCATCCAATTCATTATGACCACCACAGCGAATCAAACTTAGCCAACATAAAAATGATGATCTCGGTCAAATTTACAGATAATTAACTTAAATTTGATGTGGTAGTTGCTGACGATCATCCACAACACGTACTTTGATTGAAGTAAATTATTAACTCACGTGACATCGTGTTAGATCTTGCATAACATAACCTTAAAATTTGACCTAAATGGTTATATTTATTTGTTTATTATTATTCTAAAACTCCAGCCTAAAAGGCGATGGGTGATTCGCGTTCCTTCAAAGATTGCCTTCGTATATTGTGCTGATTTTGACGTGTGCGTTCATACAGATGGAGATGGGCGCTGCGAGCTGGTGGTGGGCTACACAGACCGAGTGGTGCGAGCTTTTCGTTGGGAAGAACCATCTGACAGTTCAGAGGGGGGGTCCGGTCAGCTGGTTCTACTCAAGAAGTGGCTTCTGGAGGGACAGGTGTGCTTGGCTGGCTTTTTAACACAAAAGTCTTTCATTTATTTTGAATGTGAAATAAAGCTAATAAACTAATTTACGGTCTCGAATCAGGAAAAACTTTTACGGTTTAGGAAATTAATGTAAAAAATAACCAACCTATTCAATTCAGTTTTTATTTATCAGCAGAAAGCATGAACCCAGATTATTTTGTTTTCTTACTTTTTACTCAAAAGACTTCTCCGCGGTGACGTCACAGTTTGTGTGTAGATGGTAGCTGCCATGTTGGAAGACGAGCTGTGGATAATCGTGGAGGATGGAGAGAACAGATAAAAGTTATTGTGGATCCGAGTTTGTTTTCCAGCGTGGTGGAAACTACGGATAGGCCTGTCACGATAACAATTTTTTCTGGGCAACTGTCTCAGAAATTATTGCGATAAACGATAATATTGTTTGAAATTTGACAATAATTAGTAATTATTGTCAAGTTTAAGAAGAAATGTTTGTTAATTTTATTTTGAATGTAGTACCTTTTTTTATTTTTTTGTTTTTTAAGCAAAATGAGAAGAGATAAAAGTATTTAGCATTTAAAATGTCTTGGGTGGGCCAGATAAGATGTTAACAAGGGCCCAGATTTGGCCCTCGGGCCTTGATGTTGACACATGCAAGCCTAATGGCGTTTAAAGAAAATCCACTTGCAAAACAAAAATAACTAAATTAACAAAATCTTCAAATGCCCAGTTAGTTTACTACAAATATCTGCTCACAGAATTAAAGCTGCTAATTGGTAGCATCTCGGAGAAACAGCAAAAAGACAAACATCACTTTAGTAATAATCTAATCCATGTACGCTGAGTAATTTCTAGCTGGAATAGATTCTGTTGTGTTAGTAGTTCAAAGTTCATCTGTGTTGGCACAAAAAGCTGAAATTATATGTGAAGGGTTGTTTTAATATATTACAAGAAAGAGGGAAATTAAGCTTTTGAGCTTTTCAATTTTTTTAATTTTTAATGTATCTTTTATAATTGTAAAAAAAAATGCCTATTTTATATTTTAACTTGTCATTTTTTATACATAAATATCAAACATATTCACCGTAGTGTTCCTTAAAAATGTGGATATAACTAGGGATGCACGGTTTTTCCACTTCCGATACCAATACCGATATCCGACGGTTGGTATCGGTTGGAAAATTTTATCGATCCGATACCAATCTCATACAGAAAAACTGTGCTTGATTGAAAACTGCACCAGTACAGCACACTTAAACACACCACAAGTTTGTTCAAACATGTAAAAATAACAACTTTTAATTTGTTCAGTCCGTGCAGTTATGAGTATAACATCCAATGTAAAATAAATAATCATAAATATGCTGAAACTGGCCAAAACAATAGGTTGACAACTTTGGTCAAACATGAAAAAAAAAAAAAAACTCAACAAGCCTTTCAAATGGTTCAGGGATTCTAAATATAATGTAAAATAAATAATAAAGGCGCTGACATATGAAGAAAAAGCATGGCAGATATTTAAAATTAACAGCAATCAGCTCCTGTCCTTATGGATCGGTCACATTGTCACAGATACTCGATCAAGCATGCTCGATATCGATGCTAATATCGGATCGGCGCATCTCTAAATATAAAGATATGACAGAAGTTTTTTATTTTTCTCACTAAATATGTTTGCGCACACTATAGTTTTTATTTACATTAAAGATTCATATTTGGACGTCAAAGGTGGTCTGGAAATTTGAGCCAGGAAAAGTGTGTACCTGTTATTTACAAATGGAAACTGTACTTGCATCATATTTTTAACCAGTGCTGCTTTCGTTTGAGAGTTAGCATAAAGTCGTGCCGACTTTCCTCTGGGTTATTCTAGACTTAAACAGGATGCTTGTTCTTCTGCAGGTGGACAGTCTGTCGGTGAATCCAGGTCCAGAGGGTTTACCGGAGCTCATGGTGTCCCAGCCGGGCTGCGGTTACGCCATCCTGCTCTGTACGTGGACGCAACAGGACTCCACAGAATCTGAAGAGGACGCCCCCGCCACGCCGGGGAGGTAAACCTTGTCAAATTTCAGTTACAAGCCGAACGTTTGGTTACATCAGCTTTAATGTGTTCGTCACAGCGAGGGACCTTCCAGAGACGTAGCTCTCCACCTGACCACTGGGCGAATACACAACAAGAACGTCTCCACTCATCTCATCGGCAGCATAAGCAAAGGTACAAAACACAGGAAATGGTTTATTATCTGACTAGTTTTACTGCTTTAGCAGAAAATTTAGTTGTTTATGAATGAAAGGAGCACAAAAATGAGTTTTCTGAATGCTTTATGTTTTTATTCATCTGTTTTTCAACAGGTTCAAAGGAGGAATCCTCAAAATGTGGCCTGTTTGCACTTTGCACTTTAGATGGTAAGTCTTTCACTTCTTTTTCCAATAAGACAAAAATAAAAAATATATTTGGGATAAGTAGTCCCTTTTTGTTTGAAGCGTTTTTTTTTGTTGTTTTTTTTTAATTTTCAAATAAAGGTTAGGCTTTTAAGTAGTTTTAGATTTTTACTTGTGTATATCATGTTTTTATTTACGAGTATCTATTTTCTGTTTCAATACTTGTCTGTTTTTATTTTTGTTTCGTTTTATGTTTTTAATTATACACTTGGTTGTTTTCAACATGTTCTATAAATAAAGTTGATTTGATATATAGAAATTAATAAAATAACAAAATATTAAATGTTCAGATCATCATTTTGTTTCAAATATTAGAAACCGTAATTAACTCTGACACTGACAAAAAAAAAGAATTGTAAAAAGCTACAAAATAAATTTTGTTTTTAAAAATAACTGAACATAAGTTGCCTTTAGTGTTATTACAAACAACAACTAATATTACATGGAAACAGCGAAGGGAAATATATATTTATTTTAATATTTGTTTTTATTTTAAACCTTGTGTAAAGATCTTTAGTTTTTAATTTTTACATTATTTTTATTCAAGAAGTGAGACCCAACAAATCAATCCAATAAACTGTTATTTACTGTTTTTTGAAGTTTTCGTTATATAAAGGAAAAACTTTAAAAAGAGAATAAGATCCGATGATTATCATTCACCTTTTATATTAATGACGTGAGGTCAATGAATTAAAAAAAAAAACAATGCCTTCAGGAAACTGTAGTTAAATACACAGTGATGCGTTCTTTTGTTAACTTGTTGACAAGAAGATTAGTTGAACTCAAGCATGACTGTTTTATTGGAAGCTGTTGGAGAAATTATCTCGCTTTCAAAAGAACCACTCTCACGACAGGTGACAATTTTTTTTTCACCTGTATTTTACTTGCAAGGACAAATTTCAGGCAGGTTATATACACAAATGTATATAAATATACATACATGTATACACATGAAGACCAGTCACAGAAATGAGCCACGAGCCGCGTTATCTGCGGCTTTTATAGCATTATCACCTTGAAGCCAGCTGCAGTCTTCTTACACAGCACTCTTCGTTTACACAAACATATGGTTCATGGGCAGAGATATTTTGGGAGACAACAGAGCTTCTTGTTCTTAGGGCAGAGGAGAAGAATGTTCTCAGCCGTAATAATAAAAACATACATAACCTTTGACCAAAAATTCCCTGAAAGGACCATTTTCTTTTTATCGTGGTTTTATTTAGTTCAGTGTTGTTTTATTGGGTCAAAACATTAGGGATGCACGATATTGGATTTTTGGCCAATATGCAAAAATATAGACCTACTTCCAGAGACTACATAGCTTTCTCTGACGTGGAATTAAAACACTACATTATTCTGCATGGTCTTTGTCAGTTTGGCCTGCTACCAAATGCAGATGTCAAAATAGGGGAATGGCAATGATGTAACACTTCAACTTGGATTATGTTTAATGTCAAATTTATTCATGACATTTACTCTCTAACACAATGACAACACTCGAACAGTGCAAATTTGTCAATTTTCACAAATCTAAACTCAACCGGTTCACAAGCAACAAGTGAAAAGCGCATATGTAGTAGTGCATTAATATATATACTTGACAGTTTCTTAAATTAAAAATTTACTTAAAACAGAAGCCTTTTGTATCGGTGAGTTATTTTGATGGATTGGCCGATGTCCGATATTTCACTTTATCGCCAATATCGGCCGGTACCGATACCATGCCGATAATATCGTGCATCCCTATAAAATATTACATGGACACAAAATGCTCTGCTAACACTGTATGATTATTCTTCCTAGAATACTGATTAGTGAAGACTAACTTTGAAGAGTGTCTTGGGATTGACTAATTGTGATGATGTCATCAGTTTTTTTGTCTCTCTCGTGTTAAAGGAACCCTGAAGCTGATGGACAGTTCGGAGCAGCTGTTGTGGTCGGTGCAGGTGGATCATCAGCTCTTCGCTCTGCAAAAGCTTGACGTCACTGTGAGTCCGTTTGGGATGGTTTGTTGCGAATCGTCAACGTTTTCAGCTCAAAGCCACGTCGAGAAAAGATCGGCCACATGTGTTATAGATTCAGTATAATTGGATGTGTTTATTCGTAGGGCGATGGCAGAGAAGAGGTGGTGGCGTGCGCCTGGGACGGTCAAACCTACATTATCGACCACAATCGAACTGTGGTGCGGTTCCAGTTCGATGAGAACGTCAACGCTTTCTGCGCTGGTGAGTAACCTCATGCTTGGGTTTGTTTTCTACTCTGGATTCGGATCACACCTGGATTATTGAGCATGCATCAGGACAAATCAGTATCACATTTGTTTATTCATCCTGTGACTCAGATGTGCCTTAAAAAATACTACAAAAAACAAGACGTCCTGGTGCATGCTCCATTATCCAGGTTGATGAATCTAACGAGGTTAAGGCAGGTCCTCTGGACGGATTCTTCTTTGTTGAAATGTTTTGTCTTTTATCCAAAAGACTTCTTCAGTCTGAGGAGCTGCAACAAACAAATAGCACCTTCTCATAGTGGATCAACCAGTTTGATGGTAACAGCCAGAACTAGCTGTTCACATCAATCTAACAATTGATTGTTAGTGCCCTCATGGCCACTTGCTATCCACAGGAGGCTGAGTGATACTAGCAATAACAGCATTGTAAGAGGGGGACAGTTGAACCCGGAGGCCTCCACCCCTGTTTAACGATGGACAGTTTCTTTTCACAAAGATGGCCTCCTCTACTCCTCTCTCAAACCATCGTTCCTCTCTGTCCAGGATGTGAACATCTTCATCCCTGGAGATGAGTGTAGACCACAGAGTCCTGGCCTGATGATGTTGCTCTTCTGTGCTGGGCCATCCTTTTGGCCAGTGGCTGTTTTCCAGCATATAAGTCACATCAGTCTTAAAAAGCATCATGAAGAGGGAAAAAAACATATAATTCGCTTCGGAGTATAAGTCGCATTTATTATGCTTCACCTCTGACCCCCGGGAAACGTGGGCCGGTGTCGTGCCAAAAATCGATTGGCAGCCATGGGAGCGCGCACAAGAGGACTCGCTGTTGCAATTCTTTGAAATTTAACAAGATTAACATATAAAAGCAGTTACTGTAATTTCTGGACTATTGAGCGCACCTGAATATAAGCTGCGCCAGTAAATTTAAAAAGAAAATTTACATTTTACATAAATAGGCCACACTTGTCTGTAAGTCGCGGGTGTTCGTGTAACATGAGATATTTACACAGAAAGATTTTTTTTTTTTACTTTTAATTTACCGGTAACACGCACAAATACAGTAAAAAAAAAATATATTTTTTTCTGAGCAGTGCGTGTAACACAGCTGATAAAAAATATACAGCAGTCTCCCAGGAAGTCATTGATCGCTACCCCCCAAGAGAGACATGTACTGAGCAGCTATGTGAGTGCCTGGGTGTGACGAAGTGCAATGTTTTGGTGGCATGAAGCTCGTTAGTCCATCCAAAAATAAAAAATAAAAATCCATAAATTAGCCGCAGCATTGTATCAGCCGAGGTGTTCAAAGTGTGTGAAAAAAGTAGTGACTTATAGTCCGGAAATTACGGTATTTATTTACTCGACATTATAGCAAATGTGTGTCTCAGTTTAACTTTTTCCGTAATAAATGCACTTTAATGATAAATGTCTGGTGGGAAAAAATATATATATAAGTCGCTTCGCAGGACTGGCAAATCTACGCACAAAAACTGTGACTAATACGCCGGAAAATACAGTAGTTTCCCCAATGTAAGACTGATCACCCTTCTGACACTGAACAACATACACAATATTACTCTGTTTGTGCCAGGGGACTGGATCTTTGGGCCTTGGCTTTAATGTAGTTTGGTGTTTGAAAGCCAGTGGGACATCTTGTTTAGAAAATAAGCACCTCAGATTACTTCCACTGCCTCAGCAACAAGAACACATGGAGACAGATGAAACAATGATTTGACATATTGAGACAAAAGTGCAGCGCTCAGCATTTTAAACGCCATCCATCCATTGATCCATCCATCCTACCTAACTAACTAACTAACCATACAAGGCTTCCAAAGCCCAACGTCACAACAGTCACACAACTTGTGAGTATTCTTGGTTCTGATTTAAGTAAAAACAGAAATAGAGTAAAGTGTTTTTTGCATATATCAAATGTTTTTCACTCCGGATAAATATATTTTCTCTCATCTTTCCGATCCTACAAAGCCGCTCTTCTTTGAATCGTTGAATTCTGTGCAGAACATCTATCATGTCCATAAATCTGCTCTCGTGGTTGTCATTGAGTATTGTGTTATGCGGATTAAAAATCAGACGTGTTCCTCTGCCATTTTGGACGTTAAAAACAATAACTAGGATGCCTGAAGCAGAACGCCGTTTAACAATAGTGCTTCTCTGAAACTTCTCGCTGTGTGGATAATTTATATTCATCGCTCTCAAGCGGCCAATCAAGTTTGTTTGCTTTGTGCTTTATTTCATTAAAGTTTGTGAAAATGCAACAAGATAATTCTGCATCATTTTGATTTAAGCATAAATCGTCTAAATATTTTTTTTCAAGCACGTAAAATGTATTGCTAGGATGACTTTGGTTAAGTCTTGTAGCTCGTTCTGGCCCCATTTGTTCTGAACCTTTGGATCCATCCCTCAGCTGTAGTAATGCAAATCAGCACCACCAGGTGGCAGTGTTAAGCTTCTGTATCTATAGAGCTACATGTGCAGAAGTGAGTGAATTAAAGAAATAAACCTTGTTTGGCCTGTTTTATTCTGTTAAGATTGGTTTATTTTATTTTATAAACCTACATGCTCCTCTTTACGTTCCACTTTTTGTCTGTTCTGTTTATCCGTGCAGATTAGATTGTTTCTTCGTTTACATGGAAGCCGGTTTTGCATTTGTGTTTATTTCACATACCATGCATTCGTTCATTAAATACTGTTTGCAGGTCAGTATACATGTAAGGAGGGTAAAAACAGCCCCTGCCTGGTGTACGTCAGCTTCAATCAGAAAATCTACATCTACTGGAAGGTGAAGCTGGAGCGTATGGAGTCCACTAACCTGCTGCGTGTGCTGGAGGAGAAGCCCGAGTTTAAAAGCCACCTGAAGGCGCTGGGAGTTGGTGAGTACATAAACAGCTTCAGCTCAGACTGGAGCGTCGTTCATTAAACTCAAAACTGACATCATCTCGGTGTGAGCTTGAATTTGAACAGCTGACCAGCTGTGATTGTTGGGTGGGATCGTTTCTTCCATCCTGTCGTTAACACCCAGAGTCTGACCTGAATGCTAACGAGCAGGAAGGAGAGATATTAACTCCCCATTTCTAACAAAATCCTCAGTATCTGCAAGTTTACCGCCCACACTTTTCCACTTTTAAAGGTTGACATTTTAGAAAAACTGTTTGTTTGTTTTTCTGTTTAGCAAAAGTGTACATAGCTTTTTTATGTGAAATAATAATAGCAGCTATTCCTACATTTAGAGCCTCTTTTCTTGTACCGTATTTTTCAGACTAAAAGGCGTTAGGCCTGTCACGATAACAAATTTTGCTGGGCGATTAATTGTCTCAGAAATTATTGCGATAAACAATAATATTGTTTGAAATTTAACAATAATTAATTGTCAAATTTTAGAATTAATGTTGATTAGTTTGGTGTATCTTTTTTTGACCACCTGATGGCAATATAAGACTGTTTGAGCCAAAGATTGGAAAGTTGAGCAGCTTCTCTAATAAAAATGGGAGGAAGGCCCCTTGACGTAACATGGGCTGTCTCTCTTGGGTTCTCAAAATGGCGGACACTCTGTGTGGTTTGAGCTCTTTAGCTTTGTTGCTCTGTCTGTGAAACTACTTCTGAGCCTCTCTTGCATATCTTCCAAACCATAATTATGGACTTGTTTTGATCAGTTGGTCTCTCAACACAATTTACAACATTTCTTCGAAGAGAAGACAGGCTTTAGGCTAGCCGATTTGCCCTGTTGGCACGCACGCAGCTGGATATCTCATCGACTTGAAGACTTGATGATGTGTCTATCTCTGGTGCCATTTGTGGATTTTAAGGACACATATTTAATTGGATTTACAATAACTGGTTCCTGCTTTTTGGATTCGGCTGGTTGCTGGTTTTATCAACAATCAAGGAAGTCGTCGGCAGCAAATTTGGACCCGATCATGCTGCTTGCCTTTATGATGGTTTGGTTCGTGCCTCGAGTACCCAGACTCAAATGCTTTGGGCTGAATGGATCAGATCTCGGGGATTTTACTCAGTCACGTTCCATCGGTGTGGACATGTAATTTGGACATTTCAGAACCGAGTGGACCAACACAGACTCAAGGTAGATGTCATTAAGTTCTGCATGTCCCCAAAACAACTGTGTGTTTATCTGAATTTGGCTCCCCTGGCTGGCCTTGAAGGTCATCTTATCTGAATTCGCCTGGAGAACATGTGATCTGACGCTCACCACCGCCTCCCTGAGGAATTTCCAACTGATAACCAGATGGAACCAGCTGAATAAACTTTGTGTCATAATTTCAGGACTCTTGGATTCTCATAGACGTTATTCTTGGCCATTCCTCGACATACCTCGAGAATGTTTACGGATCTCACCAGAGAAAACTGGTTGATTATCCCATCCTTATCAGAACTCTTACAGTGACCTCGAGAGCGTCTCAAAAATCTTCAATGAGCCTTATAATCCGGTGCACCTTATGTATTAATTCTGGTTGAGCTTACTGACCTCGAATTGTTTTTACGTGGAACAACTGAACAATGCTGAGTTATTGTGAATGAGTTGAATAAAGTTTGACTTATCTGACTGTTTTGTTTCGCTTAATGCGCCTTATAATCCAGTGCGCTTTATTTATTGAAAAAAAAGAAAAATCCAGTAGATTTTTGTTGTAGATTAAACGTGACTAATAAAAGTCCCAAACCGTTTTTCTGGCTTGAAGTCACTGATTTTTATGATTTTCATCTCTAATTTAAAAATCTAAATTCATTCAACCTTTATTTATACAGGTTAGTCCCATTGAGCCTCGGGGACTCATTTGAGACCTGAATAAATAAATAAATCGCCTACTAATACACCAAATTAAAACATGTTTACAAATAAATAATTAATAAACGAGTAAATACATTAAAAAATAACATTTACTGGCATCAGGCCTACCTTTAGCCTGCACATTCATCTGCTTGTGTCTCTCCTCGCATGCTTTTGTTGCCTCGTTGCACCCTGGTGCAGCTTCTTTAAATATTGAAATTAGTTGGTTTGGTTTCTGCTTTTACTGGTGACCAGTTTTTGTGCTTTTTTATAAGGTTGTGCTTTGTTGGACTCCTGAGCCCTACCAAAGACCCTTTTGTGTTGCGTAATTAGCTTCTGAAGGCTAACAGGCTGCTCCATTTCACACTGGGTCCACTCCTTGTCAGTTTTTTGTTGTTTTAATTTTTTTTTTTGGATGCATGTTATCAGCTGTAGAATCAAGAACTGGTGTTCTTGCAGCTGTATCTAAGCAGGGTGTTTCATTTATGTTTTAACTGAGAAGCTAAACTTTTCATGTGTTGCGTTGATATGTTGACTGGCCTGTAAATGATGTAAACCCACTTTCAGCATATGTGAGCTATAGAATATATATCAGTTTATATCATGAGATTACACTTTCATGCAAATTATTCTTGTGGATTGTGTGATATTGGACTGCTGTAATGCAGCTTTGTAGGGAAGAATATTAATGTTTTTTACTACTTGATATAAGTATCTTCGGGGAGGAGGTCCTGCCTCAAGTGGAGGAGTTTAAGTATCTCGGGGTTTTGTTCATGAATGAGGTAAAAATGGAGCGAGAGATTGATAGGCGGTTAGGTGCGGCATCTGCAGTGAAGCGGGCGCTGTACCGGTCTGTCGTGGTGAAGAGAAAGCTGAGTCAAAAGGCGAAGCTCTCAATTTACCGGTTGATCTACGTTCCTACCCTCATCTATGGTCACGAGCTTTGGGTTGTGACCGAAAGAACGAGATCTCGGATACAAGCGGCCGAAATGAGTTTTCTTTGCAGGGTGTCTGGGCTCTCCCTTAGAGATAGGGTGAGAAGCTCGATCATCCAGGAGGGACTCAGAGTAGAGCCGCTGCTTCTCCACGTCAAGAGGAGCCAGTTGAGGTGGCTCGGGCATCTGGTTAGGATGCCTCCTGGACGCCTCCCTGGTGAGGTGTTCCGGGCACGTCCCACTGGGAGGAGAACCAGAGGAAGACCCAGGACACGCTGGAGGGACTATGTTTCTCGGCTGGCCTGGGAACTCCTTGGGATTCCCCCGGAGGAGCTGGACCAAGTGGCTGTGGAGAGGGAAGTCTGGGCCTCCCTACTTAGGCTGCTACCCCCGCGACACAACCCCAGATAAGTGGAAGAAAATGGATGGATCAAATCTGTTTGGACTTTTTAACACAACACTTAAAGCACATTTTATCATCAGTCATTTCTTGGTTAATCATTGAAAATCCACTGCGGTTGTTTATTTCCTGCTCGTCTTTTCATTGCTTTTTTATGGTAGAACATTAATCTTCCAGCTGTGTCAGTGATTTTCAATATGAAGTATTTTACAAGAGGTGATAAAAAAATGATTTAAATGACAAATTTACACATGCCTGACAGTGAACCTTGTTGATCAAACGCACCTTCTCAAGATGTGGAAACTAATGTTTAGGTTCATTTTTGACGGCACTCAAACATACCAGCAAAAGTTCTCGGAGCAACTTAAAGTGCTTGTTTTTGTATGAATATTGTGTGATTGTTTTTGAAGCATTCACACTATTGTGATCCATTTTTCTTCCGTACTTTTTCAGCATCTTTTTCATTCCACAATTTTTGTGCTATTTCAAAAAATCATATATAAAAACGTTCAGCTCGTTCAGGACAATCGTGCTATGACTTTTGGTATTAGTGCAACTTTAGCTTTTGAAATATTTATCCTTTTCTGACATTTTTTTCTCATAGAAAATGAATTGAGCTCATTTTACATCCTTCAAACTTTTAGATGTGTTTACAACCTTTTACTGCTCATTTCACATTTTGTGCTGCTTCAGCTTCTTTCAGCTTCCTTGTGCTAATTTAAACTTTTTTTCAACTACCTTCAGCTAATTTCAGCTGTTTTTTTCAGCTGTTTTGTGATCCTTTTAGATTATTTCTGCTAACTACAACATTTTTGTGCTTCTTCGAAATTATTTCTGCTTATTTCAGCTTGTTATCAGTTTATTTATGCAAGTTTAGATTGTTTCAGCTACTATTTAGCTGTTTATGCTAATTTTAACTTTTTCAGCCTAATGTAGCAAATGTGCTCTTTCCACTTCCTTCTGGTAATTTAAGCTATTTTCTGCCTTATTTTTAGCTACTTTTCAGCTGCTTTTTTATAAATTTCTGCTTTTTTCAGGTAATTTTAATTTTTTGTACTTATTTCTGCTGCTCTCAGCAAACATGTTCGTTCTGCTTTATTTTGCAAATTTAAGCTTGTTCTACAGTTTCATCTACCTTTTCTTTTTAGCATTTTAGCTAATTTCAGCTGTTTTCAGATAACTTCAAGTTTTTCGTAGTAGTTTTTGCTACTTTCAGCCTCTTTAAATTATTTCTATTAATTTCATCTTGTTGTGCTCTTTTCAGCTTTTTTCTGCTAGTTTTAGCTTTTTCTGCTATTTCAGCTACTATTTAGGTGTTTTGTGCTAAATTTAGCTTTTTCAGCTAATTCCACATTTTTTAGCTCATTTTAGCTTCGTCCGCTTCCTTGTGGTAGTATAAGCTTCTATCTGCCTTTTCAGCTATTTTTTAACTATTTTGGCTAAGTTCTGCTTTTTTAGCTAATTACCTAATTTTGTACTCATTTTTGCTTATTTAAACCAAATGCAGCAAATCTGTGTTTTTTCTACTTTCTTCTGCTAACTTAGGCTTCTTCTTCCATTTCAGCTACATTTCAGCGTGTTTTTAGCTTATTTCAGCTGTTTTTCAACAAGTTCTTCAGCAATAAGCATTCATACTGCATTTTCGCAGGAAATGCAATTTCTCTAGGTTTTTTTTGTTTGTTTGTTTTTTTCTTGATGGTTGTGTTTGCTTCTGGTCATGTTTATCACTTCAACATTTGAATATTTTGCATTTATAATTTTTTTATTTACAGATTTTCACACAAAAAAAAAATCATCTGTCCATTATGTCATATAGAAACTAAAGGGATATATAGTTATAGATATGTACTTCATTTTAAGAAAGTAAAGGTGCCGTGAATATTAATATAGTCTATTTATTAAAGACATTCATCCAGAGACAAGGGGAGAAAAAAAACAAACGCTGTACTCTGTACTGTGCATGTTGGTGTCACCTGCCTCCATCTGACCTCCCAGCAGCTCTCAGGTGCTTCCCTGCTGTTTTATTTTTACTTTTTCTTATTGTAGCAAGTGCCCTTTAAACCAAATGGTGATTACTAAGAGTTCAGTTCTTGTGAAAAAGTTGCTAAAAAGGGCCAGCTGGTCTTATATTTTTAATTTATAATGGAGGAGGTCAATCATCAACTTGCTTCAACTCGAGCGAATAACTAGTTTCAAGCCTGAAGCATTTTAAACCTTGCAAGGTAAGCAGGTTTTTTTCCATTGAGATGTCAGAGACAAAACATTTTGACCTTGAAATCTGGTTTTGTGTCATTAAAAGTGAACTTAAGAAGCCACTTTGCATCAAACTCGGAGTATTCACGGATACTTTTTCCTCCCGTTAACCCGCAATATCTGCTTCAGTCAATTATTTCTCTTGAAGTCCAATGATTATTTAACCTGAAATGTTTTATTTTTTTGTTTATTGTGTGTCTAAACATGGAATGAAGTCACACTCCTCTTAAAATATGCAAGTTAAGCTTCTAAAATGTAAAATTATTTACAAAATATGCTGTAAAGTACTGAAGATTGAATGTTTTCTCACAGATATACTTAAAATATCTAAGTTGATTTATAAGTAATTATATGTACCTTACTAGCTATAAACACTGACATCATGGTGCTTTTAATTTGTAGATTTTGACCAGTGAGTCAGTGAAAGAGGGTTTAAGTTTCATTCAGTTGATTGTGTTGAGCGTGTGAGCTTAAAGCTCTACTTAGCGTGTTTAATCAAAAATTTTGTTTATTTAAGCTTTAAATTACTGTGGTTGGTTGATTTTTCAGCTACATGGAGTACTGTTATAGTACTCAGTTCTATTTTTTTTTTTTTTTTTTTTTGCTGTTTTGGTATTTTAATAACGTATTAGGTAATTTGGACTTGTTCCTTTGTGCTCCACTGGGTACAGCTAAATTGCACCAGTGTGCAAAAATAAAAAGCCATTGAACTTTCCATTCCAATAAAAACACTTTAAAGTTTCCTTCTTGTTGACAAGCAGTTCTTTTCTCTTACAAAATCAGAGCTGTCGCTGACAACGACTTCATAAACTATCTGTCTTGCAGATTGGTGAACTTCTGCTCATGTTTACCTCAAATGCTCTTTTTGTACCCGGTCCTCTTATTAGCCTTTTGCCACTGAACCTAATTACCGTAATTTTTGGACTATAAGGCGCACTTGAAATCCTTTAATTTTCTCAAAAATCAACAGTGAGCCTTATAATCAGATGCGCTTTATGCATTAATTCTGGTTGTGCTTACTGACCTCGAACTGATTTTATGTGGTTATTGTGAATGAGTTGAATAAAGTTTGACTTATCTGACTGTTTTGTTTCGCTTAATGCGCCTTATAGTTCGAAAAAAATACGGTAGTTGCAAATTGCTCTTTCAGGTTTTTTGTTGTTGTTTTACCTTAAACATTTGATATGTATACTGTGTTCCTTTGTGGATAAATACTGGATTTTTGAGGTTCACAAATCATTTCATTTCATTTTAGTTTCCATTTTACGTACTGTCCCAACTTGTTTTGTGAATTGGCGTTGTACGGTGTAATCAGCCTGTGTATAGCAACATGACAATTGATAAAAAGTTTTCTAAGGGACTCATCAGATCCCCTTACATCCATCCCCTCACTTGCACTTGCATCTATAGGGGTCATTTTATTTCTAAATGTAAAAAAAAAAACACTATTAAGAAATCAATTTTTTTGGTAGCCAGAGCTCTTACATAGTGAGAATCAAATAATAATGCACCATTTTTTGTTTCATACATTAACCTGAAGACCGAAGATTTTGCAAATGCCCTCTCTGTATATAATTGGACTGAATTCTTAGAAACCTCTCATCGTGGTTCACAGTAAATGCTCATTGTCAACGGTAAATTGCCACTTTGTGCTTTTTGCCCCCACAGATGCTGAGGATCCAGCTGCAGTGAGGGAACTGGTGGCAAATGTTCTCTACCAGGATGCACAAACATAGGACTGTGACGTATGTCATCACACTGCTTTCTGTTTTCCCTCCAAATGTAAATATCCTGCTAATAAACACTGTCTCCCCCCATTCTGCTGGTCTTATTATTTGTGTTTCCTGTAGAAAGACATTTCAGGCTTAGGTTTCTGAATTACTTGCAGCTGCCTGTAATCTCAGACTGTCACACTGCTGCTGTCATTGGTATTCTGTTTGTCCAGGTTGTTTTTAACAAGGCAGGGGAAAGATAAAAAACACAATGCAGGAGGAAACGCTGCACTGTTTAACCCGTTGTTCTTTTTCTTTCTGCGCTTTTGAGTTTTTGAGTGAGGAACAGCACAGATGTGACGCTGCTGTCAAAACATCACTGACAACTGGCTGAAAGGAGATCAAAAAGCTGCACTCCTCCTTTTCTTTCAGTTTTTTTTTTAATCTGGTGGGTTCTCAGCTTTTAAATCCTACAGATTTGTCACAACACAACTGCTTCATAAAGAGCCTGGCATGGCAGCAAGACGGCAGCATTGTCTCACAGCAGAACGACGGATTACTTGCAGGGCGTGACGAATGGCAGGACTGAGGAAATGACCTGCTGTTCCTCTTGGGAGGATCCTGTAACCACCTATGTTGGCTGCCTCTGTCTTTTGCATGCAATATAAATGAGATGTGTGTTTGTGATGGTGTAACCGAGAGTAAGGCTCAGGTGTCCTGGGAGCCCACGGCCTCTCATCTACCTTGCTCTTTTGAGGTGTGCTGAATCCTGGGCCAGGAGTCACTTGTTTGATCCAGAATGGTTGCTCCCACTTAATAATGTACCTAATGTCTCCTGACATTGACCTTGTGCAAAAAAAAAAAAAAAACACATAAACATCATGTGTAAAAACATAATTATCAAGTCATCAAAGTTCATGCTCAATAATCCTGGTAATAAATCCAACAAAGTTAAGTCAGAGACTTCATCAGTCTGAGGAGCCACAACAAACTCAAAGTCTTTTAAGTAGCACATAGTGGACAATCCAGTTTGGTGGTAATAAGCTGGTTTCTGGATTATTGAGCATTAACTTTGATGTTTTGAACCACTTTGGCCATGGCTGACTCAGACGAGTCCGCGAGGGAGAGTGCGGACTCTAGAAACCATCTTATCACCATCAAACTGGTTAGCCCACTACGTGAGTGTGCTACTTAAAAGATTGAGTTTGTTGTGACTCCTCGGACTGATGAAGTCTCTTGAATGAGAGATGAAACGTTGCAACGCAAAGAAACCGTCCAGAGGACCTGATTTAACTTTGGTGGATGATTATCAAGTGTTTTACACGTCCTGTCCGAACAGTTTGAGTCCAGCTAGTTTCCTTAAATATGTGCTAATGGTTGCTGTCACTACACAAAACTCTTATTTTGTAATTTCTTAAATGCATTCAATTCTTTTAGTAGAGACAGTAAAGCAAGACAGTAGTATGACAGGACCTCCATGTTTTAATGTAGGTGGTGTACCGATATACCAGTAAATGTCATTTCACCACTTGCTCTTGCCGAGGTCGGACGCTTCTCCCCTCCCTCTCCGCTTTGCTTTGCTGCTCTGTCTGTCTGTGAAACTGCTTCTGAGCCTCTCTTGCATTTCTTCCGAACCATAATTATGGACTTGTTTTGACCAGTTGGTCCCTCAACACAGTTTACAGCATTTCTTTGAAGAGAAGACAGGCTTTAGGCGAGCCGATTTGCCCTGTTGGCATGCACGCAGATGGATATCTCATCAACTTGGAAGACTTGATGATGTGTCTATCTCTGCTGCCATTTGTGGATTTTAAGGACACGTATTTAATTGGATTTACGATAACTGGTTCCTGTTTTTTTGGATTCGGCTGGTGGCTGGTTTTATCAACAATCAAGGAAATTGTTGGCAGCAAATTTGGACCTGATCATGCTGCTTGTCTTTATGATGGTTTCGTTCGTGCCTTGAGTACCCAGACTCAAATGCTTTGGGCAGAATGGATCAGATCTCGGGGATTTTACTCAGTCACGTTCCATCGGTGTGGACATGTAATTTGGACATTTCGGAACCGAGTGGACCATCACAGACTCAAGGTAGATGTCATTAAATTCTGCCTGTCCCCAAAACAACTGTGTGGTTATCTGAAGTTGGCTCCCTTGGCTGGCCTTGAAGGTCATCTTATCTGAATTTGCCTGGAGAACATGTGATCTGACGCTCACCACCCCCTCCCTGAGGAGTTTCCAACTGATAACCAGATGAAACCAGCTGAATAAACTTGTGTCATCATTTCAGGACTCTTGGATTCTCATAGTCGTTATTCTTGGCCATTCCCCGACATACCTCGAGAATGTTTATGGATCTCACTGGAGGACATTGACTGATTATTCCATCCTTATCAGAACTCTTACAGTGCCCTCGAGAGCGTCTATGAACATGCTCACCGCTCTTGTCATCTCCCCCCCCTCTCCTGAATGTCTACGTCACTATGTGCTTGTTTGTGCGAGGTGTTTTTTAATATCAGAGTTTTTCTTCTCAAGCAGGAAGAAAAAGTCTGACAGGAATTTTTTTGCCTCCAATTCCTACATGTGTTCAGTTTTCTACTTTTTGTCTGTCTAAACAGATCTCACTTGTAAATGAGTCTTCTAGGCTCAATGTGACTTATCTGTCTAAATAAAGGTTAAATGAATGAATGTTTTAATGTAGATGGTGTACCGATGTAAATGTAGGTTTTTACATCTTCAACAACTACCGTGTAGCTTTTGAAAATCAGTAATTAAAGTCCATTTGATGGTATCCGATAGCTTTGTTTATTGAAGACGAGCATGGAAATGCACTTTATTAATGACAATAAATATCACTAATTTAGGTCATCTGGACACTAAAACTAAAGCATAAGTAAGTTCTATTTATAATTTTTAATTGTAGGTTTACATTCATCTTTTGGGTTTTTAAACTGATGGTTTGAGTTGTTTCTACAGTATCTCTGAGGTTTATTTAAATTTGGCCCTTGACATTTATTAGCAATAATTTTCCTTAGGGTAATACTTTTGTTCTGAAGTTAACATCCACTGTGTGATGAATACTTAAAGCCTTAAGCACTTTTTTCATTGGTGTTAATGAAGGCAAGACTTTAAAAAGGGTATTCTTCTCTTATTGATATTTGATCATAAGATAACCTCGTTAGTTAATGTGATTATATCACAATTATGTGCAGCTGAAGCTTGGCCTTTTCACTGGTGATGAGCACTCCTGTTCACTGATCTCATTGTGAGAAGGACCTTTAATTCAAGTAGGACCAGGCTGATGCTGTTAATTTAAATAATAGCAAATACACACAAATTCAGGGCTGGAAACTTTCAGCCAAGCGCTATCCTGTTTTTGTTCTGATCTCCAGAAAATAGTCTGTTCAGTATACTTCTCTGGTTTCCTCCATGAATTCTGTGCAACAGTGAAATTTACGTCAATATATTCCCCAAACAGACATTATGAATGTGAAATATGTCTGACTTTTGACTTAATCATGCCAGGCTAGTGGCCTTGTTCAACCTTGTGGGGGCATGTAGACTGATATGCAGCTATTTAAAACACATTAGGCCATTTACAGTTTACAAATTATTATATATTTTCTGCCTCTTGTTTGTTTTTATTGCTTCATATTTTTTGCATGTGGCAAAAATACGAAAGTTGGACAAAGTGGTATATTGTTTCTAGTGAGTTTGCTATTGTACATATCACGATATTCAGTAAATTGTTATTTTTTTATCTGTAATACATTTTAATTTATTTCTATAGAATATTTATGTTATTCAAAAATATAAATTTGCAAGCTAATGTAGTCTTAGAGAAATTATTTTAAATAATTTTAGTTATAATAGATGGTATGTTCTGCAGTGAATACAGTATTTACTGTAGGTCTTTGCGCAATACTATTGGCATGTGTATGTCTACTCATATTAGCTCCACTGTACTTGCATTTTGCTCAGTTATAAACCCCCCAAATTTGAAGTTGAACTTCTATTCATTATGCATATTTCCTTATCAAAATATCAAGAACCAGTGAACAGATTTTATTGAAACTCTCAAAGTAATCATCAGATGCACGTTGCAGTGAAAAGATGGGAAATTGGAAATACCTTCCTTCCATCTGTATTGTGAGCTTGATAAGTTGGAAAAATAAAAGGCACCAACTTCTGTTTTGATGTGTTCCTATATCTAGGCATAAGAAAGGAAAGTTGAGTTGTCATGTCAAAATCCAAAATGGCCACCACCATAATGTATGTCTGTATGTGTGTATACATATACATATGTACATACATACGTATGGAGGTATACATATGTATGTATGAATACACATGTTTACATACATATAAGATACACTAATCATGGCAGCACAAGAACAGGCCCTCAGCACAAGAGCAATACAGGTCAGGGTCTACCATACCATACAAGACCCAAGATGCAGGCTGTGCAAATATGCCCCTGGGTCAGTCCAACACATCAGCAAGGTGTAAGATCCAGGCAGGCAAAACATACATGGAGTGCCATAACCAAGTGGCTGGAGTAATATACAGGAACATCTGAGTCAAGTATGGACTGGAGGTCCATATATGTATAAAATATGATAATAATACAAATGCATATGTAAACTGGCCACCCCAAGCATTTTGAAAAAACTATTCTTTCTGATTTTTACATTTCTTAAAAGGATAGTTTCCTCAAATGTTTGGGGTGGCTAAAGATTAATCTACGATGGTCAAGGCCACCATTGGTCACCACCCAGCTTCTCCTTTGCGCCTGGTCATGGTTAAATTGCTCCCAGGATCCGTCACTGCAGCGCCTTTGACAAACGTAATGGTACATGCACAGTGTAACTCCTAACCACTTGATTATCTTGCTGCAAAAACATTTAGGTTTTGTAGGGGGGGGTGGGAGGTTGTTGCGATAGACATAGCTTTTCCTTAGTTTACACATATCCCAGGAGAAATTTGATAAGTTGGCCTACTGCTTCGAGGCCAACCGGGGGAGTCAGATTCAGATAAGCCACAATTGAATTTTTTTTTTCAGGCCGACTGTTTTTTTCTTTTTCTTCTTGTCAGCCTTG